CGAATTTCGATGAATAGTTACGGGAGCAGCCTTACTGATAATACTGACTCAACTTTCGAAATTGATTCAAGGTAAGTGAATTAATGATTTGGCAGTAACATTTGTTCAAAGTTTTGATGAATATCTGCACAACTTTATAATTAAGGCGGTCATCGGCTTGGTCTACACTAAGAAATGCTGTTTTGGAAGTGGGCGGAAGCGGTCGCAAGGCCGCCGTAGATATTACTATAGATGGCTCTAATGGAACTCCACAAAAGAAGATTTCTTCACTTAGTAGAGGGAAATTAAGAAGGATAGCCACGCAGGTAAGCGGGCAAAACAGTACTTATTCTTTATCGATATTCTCAAATTAGATCTCCGTCAATTTCAATCTTTCCAATTTGAGATTAAAATCATAAATCTCGGATTGTGTCAATATGTTCGTATCTTAGCAAAGATCTACATCTTGTATAAACTAACTCTACACGTGAATTATCATTACTAGAAAGATAAGCTTAGGTGTCTTGTGTTAGAACTGGTATTTCGGGCATTGCTTCGCGATAAAGGTCGTCCCTCTAACTATAACACGTGTTTACATACCGCAAATCTGCCTTGATCCGGACTTGTAATTGAGGGTTATCTAGCCGATCACATGTGCAAAGCTGTATTTGTTATGGTTGTTGGTCTGTCTAAAGCAGACTTTCCCATGGCTCATCTCTTGGAGCTTAGCATTTGATTGAATTAGGATATCAGCGTATCTGTAATACGACTAAGCTGGAATTAAAAATCATGGTGTTAAGCTAGCTTTAGAAATTGTGTTTTTGCTTACGTATACGTAACGACTGTTTACTGCTTTTTTTTGCAGCACGAAATTGCATGTAAATGAGTTTGTGTGCAAAAATTGCTATTCTAGAATTTTCACTTGGTATGATCATAAAAACTTTGTATATAAAGCTTTTAAAAGAGAATTCTTCGCATTTTTTTGTAAATAGTTTAAGTGACACTTTTAAACTGCATTCGTTTGTAAAAGCAGAGAAACTTCAGGTCACTCGAGCAATTCGACGAAAACGGCGTGAGTCCATGGCGATACGCCGTGAATCTCGAGCTACTCGCGTAGTTGCAGCAATCCTAAGTGAGCTGTCGATTACCGTTTACATGACCACACTATCATTTTGAATATCATTGTTTCAGTAGCATTTTTAATATGCTGGATTCCATACTTCTGCGTCAGCGTAATTCGTGGTATTACGATGGGTATCAACGTACAAATCGATGTTCACCTACATCTTCAGTTATATCTACTTACATCATGGCTCGGCTATGCCCATTCCTGCTTCAATCCGGTGATTTACATGTGCCTAAACAAGAATTTCCGTGCTACAATGCGACGCATTTTTGGCAGGGCGAGAAAGGGCCAGCATTAAGCTGACCTTTTCGCAGAAATCATTGATTAGATTTATTTATAGAAAAAAATAAAGGATTTCCTTATATATATATTTATATATTTATATATTTATATATTTATATATTTATATATTTATATATTTATATATTTAT